AGGCAGGAGACTCGCTTGGGTCCAGGAGTTGGAGGTTGCTATGAGCATGATGCCATGGCACTCTACCCAGGGGGGATAGCTTGAGGCTCCATCTCAAAAAAACAAAAACAAAAACAAAAAAAAACTATCCTCATCCCTGGGGTGTGGAGAGGACTTCAAGGAGCCAGTACACCTGCCAGTCTTCCCTGATGTGCCCTATTTACATATTCCTTGCTACCCTTTATCTGGGCCTTGTTTCATCTGACACCCTCATTACATTCTAAGCTCTGTGATGAAAGCGATCACTTCTGGGTGGTGCAAAGTGTGCAAAGTGCTAGCACAGTGTTTGGCCCTTAATAGGTACTCAGTAAATGTCTCGAATGGAAAGCCTGTTATTTCAAAAAGTCAGAAACCACTTCCTTAAGTCTGAGTTTGGATGCTTGATCAGTTTTGCCTCTTCCCAGCCAAGCAGGGGCAACTCAGCTTCCAGGCTATGTTCCAGACAGCTCTTAAATGTCTTGTCCTATAGGTGTAACCAGAAATGCAGGAGGGAGGCCAAAGGCCCCAGCCCCACCCTTAGGCTCCCTGAAGACATAAGATGAGGACAGCACACCCATTCCTATTATCTCTTAAGCTGCCAGCCTTACCTCTTGCCGGTGGTAAGAGGTGTTTAGAAAGCCACGGTAGCGCTGTCGCAGAGCCTGGCCCAGCTCCCAGTGCTGTAGCATCCCCTCCTGTGGGCACACCCAAGGGTTAAGAAGGTCTGGAGAGAAGAGATGACTCACATGCCCCATGGGTTTAGGCACTGTTGCTTTCCAGGTTTATCTGTGGCTGGTGTAGGAGTGGGTTAATCTGATCCTAGAAGTCACTCTTTTATTAAGTGGCCAGTTGTGCCTGGCACAGAGTAAGGTTATGAAATCTGGTCAAAGTCCGCACCCATGTGGGAAATGGCAGTTTAGTGGAGTCCCAAGTTCTCTAGCCTGCTCTAGAGGGCACCTATTTTACAGTTCACATGGAGGGAAGGCTGGCTGCTGACCCACCTTGGTTAGCTGACCAAACCCCTGGGGCCAGTCTTCTTCCTGATAGGGATCTTTGGGATATGTCTTCACTGGTGAACGGTCTCCATGTCGATACAGCTGAGGAAAGAAAATAGTTTGTCTATACCTTAGAAGGGTCTCCTTGAGGAAGACACAGCACCTACCTTTTGTCCCATGTTAGGGAAGGAAGCCTTCACTGCAAAAGACCCCAGTTCAGGAGTCAGTAACTACTTCCAAGCTCCTGAAATTCTAATTTGGCTAAGCAATGCCACTGGAGACCAAAGGTACAGGAAGGAAGGGAAAAGAGACGTGAAAGCAATGTATGCGATGGAGAAAATCGGGAGAGAAAGATCCCAACGCTTCTTTAGGGATGAGTCTCAACCATTCAATTTCCCTGTCCCGGGGTAGACTCACTCCAACTTATCCCTTAATATAGAAGACTTACTTGGACACTTTGCTCCTCCCAAAAATCCAGGGTTACAGATCAATAGTGAACCTAACCCCCTAACTCCAAGGCCAGTCGTCCGCTCCTCTGCTAGCTCCTCCTCCAGACCTTGGACACCCACCAGCAGGCCTTTTCACTTCTAGCTCCAGCAAACTCTTTCGTGACCCCGTCTCTCCTTACCAAGGTTACGAAGCGCAGACTCCCGGCCTGGGTGGGTGGCATCACCATCAGGTTCACACCAAGAAGCAGCTGGAGAAGTGCGGCCCGGCTGCAGACCGACCGTCTGCCCGCCATCGCCGTTGTCTATGCAGCCAAAGGGATGGAACCCGTTCGGTGCTACCTGCCGCAGCCACCCGGACGCAGCCATAAGAACACACGCCGGAAATACTCTCGCCGCCATCTTGCTTAAGGATGGGCAGGGGTTGTAAAAGAAAGCGCTATCTGCTAGAGAATTCATGTAGGAGGTTCAGGATCTGGCCGCGGGAGAGGAGCATGGGAATATAGCGCGACTTCGCGCGGCAGACAGGACTTGACAACCTCAACATGATAAAGAGGGCCATGAGTTCGGGATTGCGTCGGCCCGGGAAGACTCTGTACCAAGGTGGCGCTTGCACTGGGCTGGACCATAGCAGGGGGAGCGAGCGCCGCCTCGGGTGCTGCCAGGCGCGACCAAGCCAAGGTGGATGCACAGTACCGGCGAGCGCCCCTCTCCACGAGCCTGCCTTTGGGTGGAGCCCTGGCCCTGTTCCTGTTTCCTGGGATAGGTCTTGTTTGGGGGTGCGGGGCACAGCGTGTAAACAGTCCTTTGGACTCCCTGTGTTCTTGAGGTTGCTTCCAGTCTAGCCTACTTTTCATGCACCGAACAGAGCTTCCCCTTCCAGTCCTTTTCCTGTTTTCCCTCGGGTCCACTTCCAAGGTTTAGTTAATTAGAGTCATACCTCTTCCCAAAGGAGTTGGGTTGCACAAGATGTTCAGGCTTTCCAAACCCATTGAATCCGCAGGGAAGGAGTTTCAGACCCGATGGGGGAGATATTCTGGGCAATGGGGCTGTCATATTATGAAGTGGGAGTAAGTAGAGTTTCCGCAGAATCAGAAGCCCCTTTGGCATTAGCTGTTAGGATTTAGATGCAGCCAGTTTGGATTCAGGACTTTGTGACCCTGAGCTTGGAGTTACACACAGTTGCACAAGGTTAGATCATAGCCTCTGTGGATGCTTTGATTCATATCTGCCCACTAGAAGCAAACCACCTCAGATCTTGGGGAAACAGAATTGCCCACTACTGTCTCTTGATTTTGCCCTAGGACTCCAGATTCATTAATTAGAAGTAACTCAGTATCTAAACTTTGCTTCCAGAGTTGTCATGGAGCAAGTAGAATAAGAACTGAAGGCTGGGTAGCCAAATAGTTAAAATAATTTTTTTTTTTTTTTAAGAGATGGGGATCTAGGCTCAGCACCTGTAGCTCAGCGGCTAGGGCACCAGCCACATACACCGGAGCTGGCGGGTTTGAATCCAGCCAGGCCTGCCAAACAACAGTGACAACTGCAACCAAAAAATAGTTGGGTGTTGTGGTGAGTGCCTGTAGTCCCAGCTACTTGGGAGGCTGAAGCAAGAGAATCACTTGAGCCCAAGAATTGGAGGTTGCTGTGAGCTGTGACGTTACCGCACTCTACAGCCACATAATGAGACTCTGTCTCAAAAAAAAAAAAAGAGAGAGCAGGAGACGGGGATCTTGCTCTGTTGTTCAGCCTGAAGTGCAGTGGTATGATTATAGCCCACTGTAGCCTCAAACCCCTGGGCTCAAGTGTTCCTCCAATCTTAGATTAGATCACTACTGTTACAGGCATGAACCACAATGTCCAGCAGCATTCTTAACCTTGGTCACAGGCCCCTTTATGAATCAGATGAAAATATTGCCCTTCAGAAAAATGTCTACAGACACAGGTATAATCCCAAGAGGTTCACAAAAACCATTTATAAGTTTCATAAATCTCTGAATCCCTGATCTAACTTAGTCCTCTTACTTGCAGATTAGAAAACTAGGGGTGGCGCCTGTGCTCAGTGAGTAGGGTGCCAGCCCTATATACCAAGGGTGGCGGGTTTAAACCCTGCCCTGACCAAAAACTGCAACAAAAAAATAGTTGGTGTTGTGGCGGGCGCCTGCAGTCCCAGCTACTTGGGAGGCTGAGCTGAGTGAATCGCCTAAGCCCAAGAGCTGGAGGTTGCTATGAGCTGTGATACTACAGCACTCTACCGAGGGCAGTAAAGTGAGACTCTGTCTCTTAAAAAAA